TCCCCATTGTCCCCGCTGTCCCCGCGCCTGCGCGCGGCCCCGGAAGGCGCGGTGCGGTGCCGTTGTGGTTCCGGGGATGGCGGCGGAGGGGCGGGCACGGCGCTGGCAGCGGGGCCGAGCTGAGCCGCGGGCCCGCAGGTACCGGGGGTTCGGGGGGTCCGGGGGGGTCCGGGGGGCCGGGCGGTGCCGCAGCTCCCGCTCTGTCCATCTGTCCGTCTGTCTGTCTGTGTGTGTTGCAGTGAGCAGACACGCCGGGGGCGATGAGCAGCCAGCGCTGACCCGGCCCGGCCCGGCCCGCAGCGGACATGGACGCGGAGGCGGTGAGTGACCCGGGGGGCTCCGGGGGGCCGGGACACACGGACAGGGCAAGGACATGCCCTGGACACTGCTCCGGACACTGCCCCTGCCCCGGACACTGCTCCGGACACTGCCCCTGCCCCGGACACTGCTCCGAACACTGCTCCGGACACTGCCCCTGCCCCGGACACTGCCCCAGACACAGCCCCTGCTCCGGACACTGCTCCGGACACTGCCCCTGCCCCGGACACTGCCCCAGACACAGCCCCTGCTCCGGACACTGCTCCGGACACTGCTCCGGACACTGCCCCAGGCACTGCTCCTGCCCCGGACACTGCTCCGGACACTGCCCCTGCCCCGGACACTGCTAGGGACACTGCTCCTGCTCCGGGCACTGCCCCTGCTCCGGACACTGCCCCTGCTCCGGACACTGCTCCGGACACTGCCCCCCGCACCAGCTCCCAGACACTGTCCCCATGCCTGTCCCTGCCACCTGTCCCTGTCCCCTCTCCCCAGCCAGGAATCTGTCGCCTCCCCGCTCMCCTGCCCCAGTTCAGAGTTTAAAATACTCCTCAGGAATTTCAGGTCTATCAGCACGGGGCAGTGCTCAGGCACWGAGTGCAGAACGAGCTGCAGCCATAAATAAACTACGGGGTGTGTTGCAGGCTGAGCTTTGTCACTGTGGTGTTCTCTGGCCAGAGCCTGTGACAGCCTCAAATGGGCAGAGCTTCACCTTTTGGGTTCAGCTCAGAAGTGTGCAGAGAGCTCTAAAACATTTGCTGTTTCTGAAAACAAGGCTGTTCCTTGTGGTCCTTGGCTGGGACAGGCTTTGGATAACTTGTCACTTGCTGTCACCCAAATGTTCAGCCTTGTCAGAGTGGGCCAGGTTGGAAGGGACCACAGGAAGTCACAGGGCCTGCCAGAGCAGGTTCCTCAACATCATGTGCAGGTGAAATTCCCCAGGGAAGGAGAATCCACAGCTCCTCTGGGATATTAAACAGTGCTGCATGTATTAAAGGTGGTGTGAAAGCAGGAGTGTCCCTTGAATGACAATTTTTTCTGATGTAATTTTCCCCGTGGGCCCTTGATGTGTTTCTGTTTTCCTCTTTTGCCCAGTTTTCATTTGTCAGTGCCTGTCACTGAGAGCTGTTAGGTTTCAGTCCTGCAGACCCTACAGCCATGCTCAGAATGCCCTTGGGGTATTAACTCTGTGCTCTGGCTTCTCACAGACCATCCCCATCTGGCAGAACAAACCCCATGGCTCMACTCGCAGCGTGGTCAGGATGATTGGCTCCAACCTCCCCCTGAAACCCTGTCCCAGGGCCACCTTCGAGGTGAGTGACCCCAGGGCTTGGGGGGCTGCAGAGCTGGGGCAGGACAGGGCACAACTGTACAGTTGTACCCACAAAACTTGCACCAGTACAGTTAACTTTAAGAATTTTTTTAAGTTTCTCTATTCTTTAATTCTGTWCTTGTAAAGTAATCTCTGGTAATTKGAGGGARTCCYTCAGGCAGTGTCTGAGMTGGAGGAGAKGGAAAGGTGTGGCTGCTGCCCCAGGGTTTTGCTGTGTGCTCTCCAAGAGCTGTGGTGCCCTCTGGGCCTGTTCTCTGAGTGCTCTGGGGTTATGGGGACACTGATGTCACCCTTGGAGTGGCAGAGAGCTGCACGTGGCCCTGGCCCGGATCAGGTGTCCCCTGTGCCTCAGGCAGGCAGGAACAGGAGCTGGCACAGGCAGCACAGCAGCACCCACACCCCAGGGGTTTTATCTCATAAATTGTGCAAACTGAGGGAACCCTGCCCGAGCTGCTCTTGTGCCTCTGCCACCGAGCACAGGGACTGTGACAGCTCCACGAGCCACAGGCACCGTGTCCTCAGCAGCTTTTCCTTCTCCCAGGTCCTGCCAAGTATGTCAGAGCTGTATCTGAACGATGTGCCCCCTGTCCCCACCCTGGCTGACATCGTGTGGATCGCAGCAGAYGATGAGGAGACCTACGCCAGGGTCAGGTTGGTTCCTCCATGGCTCTGCTCTTATCCTCTGCTTTCTGTCACAGAGCTCAGGCCACACACTGCCCAAATGACCACAACTTCCAGTCCTCTCAGGGTCTTGGGTGCCTTTTGAAAGATGTTTTTCCCAAGAGGAGAGGGAAAAAAAATGGCAAAGTGCCCTGAGAGGAATTCCAGTAGGAAGTGCCAAGAGGCAGTGCCCTGGGAGGAATTCCTGTGGGAAGTGCCAAGAGCCTGTGCATGCCATGGTTCACTGATCTGTGCACAGGAACCCCCTGCTCTGGGGAGTTTCCTGCTCAGGAGGTGCAAGGGTTGAGTTCTCCCAGGACTGGAATGTGCTGYCCTTGGGGGTTTTGTTCTGGTCAGCAGGGCAGTAGTAACAGAAGTCCTGGCAAAGATAAAATAAACTTTGGGACCTGGGAGAGCAACTGGTGAGTGCCATTTCCCAGTGCACCACCCCATCCCACCCTGCCATGAGCAGGGACTGTCCCAGGGTGCTCCAAACCCTGTCCAGCCTGACCTGGGACATTTCAGTGATCCAGGAACAGCCACATCCCTCTGTTCTGTGCTGCAGAGAGCACATCTGTACCCCTGATGATGCACAGGGGCTTTATTTGTTTTTTTGGAGGTTCTGCTGCCCTCAGGGGAGGCCAGGCTTTGTCCTGGACAGGTTTGGACATTGTTGGTGACAGTTTTTTGTCCCCAGAAGCGACACCCGCCCGCTGAAGCACAAATGGAAGCCGAGTCCCTTCACAGTGATCCAGAGGAACGCCTCAGTGCCCAACCTGAGGAAGCAGGAGGAGAAGCTGCTGGCCCTGAAGAARCCTGGATTGCCAGCTCTGAGCAGGACCACGGAGCTGCAGGATGAGCTGAGTCACCTGCGGAGCCAGATCGCAAAAATCGTGGCTGCAGAGTCAGGTGGGAGCAGGGAGAGCTTCATTTCTGCTGGGCTGAGCTCTGCTTTTCCTGCAGGCTCACTCAGGGCTGGCTGGGTGCTCTGGGGCAGCTCAGGGGCTGTGTTTGGGTGGTTTTGGAGAAAAAACATCCTGCACAGTTTGTTTTGGTGTGAGTTCATCCCCACATTTTCTCTTGCAGCCTCTGCCCAGCTGACCCCAGATCTGTTATCCCCTGGCAGCTCTAATGCCTCCTCCCCCGTGCATTGCTTTGGACCCTCTTTCCAATCCACCACCTCGTTTGTSATCAGTGATATCACAGAGGAGGAGGCAGAGCTGGACAGCCCCGAGCTGCCCTCGGTGGCCCTGCCCTCGGTGTCCATGGAGAGCTGCAAAGCAGAGCCAAAGGACCCCGATGAGGAGGACTCCGTGTCCCTGTCCAAGGCCAGCAGCTTTGCTGACATGATGGGAATTCTCAAAGACATTCATAGGATGAAGCAGAGCAAAGATTTGTAAGTGCTTGCTGAGCTCTCCTTTTATTCTGTGTCAACTGTGGTATTGCAGGTGTAATAATAATAACAATAATAACAATAATAATAACAATAATAATAACAATAATAATAATAATAATAATAATAATAATAATAATAATAATAATAATAATAATAATAATAATAATAATAACAAAACAACAAAACAACAATAATAATAGTAATAATAGTAATGGTTATATTAATTCTTAATAATTATTCATTATTAATAAATAATTTTGTAGTCAGTGCTGGTGTGTGGGCCTGCCATGGGAAGCTGCTGCTGCCTGTGCCAGAGGAGAGGGAAATGTGCATTATCCAGGGGGAAAAAAACCTTGGAAAAATTCAGATYGTGGCAGGAAAATCCGAGGCGTTTCCTCCCCACGCCTGGATGTGCCTGCAAGGCTCCTGCACACAGCAATGATGTTTTGGGGTTATTACAGCTTAATTACAGCTGTCTGAAGAGTTGCAGGTAGCTGGAAAATTAAGTTAATTACTGCTGTTGGTTATTTGATGAGTTTTAATTCCCAATTCTGGGGTGGTTGTGGAGCAGCCCCTGTGCACTGGACAGCACTGAGAGCCTGGAGAGGGTCAGGTGCTCCTCAAGTGGAGGGAGAAAGATGATTAAATATGCAAAAAAGATGCTTGAAAAGATAATTACATCTGTGTAGAACTCAGTGCTCAAACTCAGCCTTGGCAGCTTCAG